ATAGATGCAAAAAGCCTACTTTGAAATTCGATATTTCTATTAACAATTTTATTCTTTAGCAATTTTAATAGAAATTATACTTTTAATTTTCTTATATTTTTATGTAAAGATAAAAAATATTTTTATTTTACATTCATATTTAATTTATTACTAATAATTTATGAAAAAATATTTTTAATTATTAAATTATTATATAGTTTAAATTTTACCAGACAAAGTCAGAAAAAGAATGAAATAATGAAAACAAAACTAATAGTAAAATTTTATTTTAATAAAAAAATTTTTGAAAGTAAAAATTCTATTTACTTTAAAATCAATTTTTTAAATTTTATTATATTTTATACAGTGTAAAAATGGTACGTATAATATTATTTTTTATTTATTAGAAAAAGAAAATTGATTAAAGTATTTTTCTTTTCTCACATAACTTATAAGATATTTTTAATCAGTAATAATACTTATTTTCGTAAATTAAATTAATACTTATGTTCATGAATATAAATATATACATAACTGACAAGATCTTCATTTTAAATTTTTTGTTTATCTTATAATGATATTATGATAAAAAAAATCAATATAACCTAATATTTTAAGAATAATATATCGAATATATTTTTTTGTAAATTAGACGTACATTAAACTTATTACTACATAAATATGTAATATAGATTTGAAAACATGTGCATTGTAAAACAAATTTACAAAATTATTTCAATAAATGCTCTATTATATCTTAAATTAATAAAATGTTAATAATTTTTTCTTAAATCGTAACGCACATATGTTACATTAATCATGTTTTGTTGTTAATAACAATGAACACGTTCACCTATACATATTGTGCAGTATAGAGCAATTATTATTTATGCTAAATACAAATTTTTCGAACCAAATGTCAAATATACAATATAGTATAAAGCGACGAACATGAAATTAATGTAATACTTGTTTTTATTACAATGATTTCACATATCCAAAGAAACATTATTTGAAAACGTTATTTCCTATATTTGTAATATTCACATAATATTTAATTTGTGTATATTTAACATCTAAAAAGCAACGTTTTGAAATAATTTTTCTGAATTGTAGATATGTTTATAATATTTAAAAATCATATAGTTTAATAAACAATGAAAATTAGTTTAGCAAATAATGGAAATGTAGGTAGGTGAATAATAATGAAATTATAACTGAGTTGCAGTTTATATAGTATTGTTTAAATCAAGACGTGGCCTTTTGCTATGAACTGTAGCAGCATCATCTTCAGAATCACCATTAGCAGACAAAAAATCACGTTTTCTATCAGCATGCTAAAAAATATAATTGATAATAAAGTAAATTTAAAATTTAAAATATGTAACAGAAAATATTATTTAAAAATATGTATATAATTTTATACATTTTTATCCCAGTGTTGATGAAGATACCTTAGTAGTATGGTTGTTTTCTCTGTAACTATAACTGAAAATAATAATTAGATTTATATTTATTCTTATTGTAAAATTATTATAAATATATATCCTAAAGTTCTTACTTTGTTCTGAAGGATGATCTTTTGTAGGAAGATAAACTGAAGGTTTTTTTACACAAGTTCTGTTTCCACTATCTGTATGAAAATTAGCGAAGTTATTTTCATTGTGAGAAGGCAGGCCCTTTAAAAACTCAGCAACAGACTACAAAGAAAGAAAATCAGATTGAATAATTTAATTTCTAAATAAAAATAAAACCAAAAACTTGCTTTCTCTTTTAAATAATGAAAAATTAAAAAAAAAATTTACAAATCATATTTTTTTTTTGTTAAATTATATAGATTAAATATTTAAAAATAATTTATCCATTTATTATTAAAAAAATTGTAACAAAAATATATAAAAAGTAATTATTTTTTTCAACTAAAATTCAAAGAATGATTTATCATTTATTTTTAAAAAATTTTAATATAAGTTGTATATAACCTAGAAAACAATCAGTTCATATCAAGAAACAATTATTATGAGATTATAAATAAAAAATATATTTTACCATTTTGTAATTATCTGACATATCACGTTACCAATCACTTAAAATATTTTTATTTCTCGCTGGAGAGAAACTAATTTTTAAAACTTTCTAATTGATACGAAATCAACTGCCATCATTTCGCCGAACCACAGAATCCAAATGTCTAGATTCTATTTCTCTAGTTAATGACGTAATAAGTAACAAAAAAGTATCTTATTCAAAGCGGCAAAATAGAAAATTCATAAATATATAATATATCATATCTATATATTTTAGAAATATTGAATAATTTTCTTTTTTATAAAGAATATTTGCAATCATAATTTATTATTTAATTATTTGTTAATCTATATTATATATATATATTAATAATATATATATATATATTAATAAAAAATGATTCAATATATAATATTTTGCATAATTTTAAAATAATTTAATATAATTATATAATAATAAAAATCTGACTATCATTTTTTTTTAAAAGATTTCAAACAAGTCTAGATAATGTAAATAATGTCATGTTTGACATTTCTCAATGTAAACATAACCAAAAAAAAATCGTAGATATTATAATAAAACTTATTTTTAAAAATTAATAGAATGTACAAAAGAAAATGGAAGAATTTAAGAAAAATTGATAATGATAATTTTGAACTTGAACCAGAAATAACTAAAAAATCGCAATGTTTTTCAAGAGTTAATTTTGCACATATAGCATTTGATTGGAATGAAGAATATTTCGTTGCAATTGATACAGCAGGATATTTATATTACATCGATTTAACAAATAATTATCCTTCTTATAAAAAATTAGGTAATATTGGAAAAACAACATTTATAGGATGTAATCCTATAAATAAATTTGAAATATTAGTTGGTCTCACTACAGGTGATATAAAAATATTAAAAATAAATATAGATGTTTCTCAATTTTGTCTATTAATTGCTCATAAAATACCACCATTACAAATTTCTTTTTACAAGAAATATTGTTTAACCTTTTCATGTAAAGAAGTTATAATATGGTGTTTACATTCTTGTAGTAAAGCTCAACAATTAAAAATTAACACAAAAAATTGTATAATAAAAAAAGCAAGTTTCTCAAATTTAGGACACATTGCTGTACTGTATTATAATGATAATTTTCAAATATGGAATCACAATCAATTTGAAAATAATATCAAAATTGATGCAAAAATATTTGGTATACGAAATATTAAAGATTTTGTATTTACACAAAATGGAAGAGCAATGATTATAGTAAATATTCAGAATAAAATTGTCATTTTGAATACATGTAACTGGAATTTAATGAAAACTTTAAGTTTACCAGATAATTTTATTGGAATAAAACATTTATCTCTCGTACCATCACCTTTGGATGGTGGAGCAAATAATATAATAGCTTGTATTTCTTCAACTTACAATTTATATTTTTTTGATCTGAATAAATCTTGCTTTATTAATATTCTACAACCTCTTAAACCAATAAAAAAAATTATAATTTCTCCTACTGGCAGATACATAACATATATAGAAAAAGAGGGTCATTTAAAGTTCATAATTACTGAGAAATTATTTTTAGACAAATGTGAATCTTTACAAAAAATAGAACCATGTAGACCAGTTGCACATGAAATATGTGATCATTTACAATGTGTTAGACAAAATATTAAGCGCGAATTACGTTTAGAAAGATTAATACTTATTCTAAAAGAATTTGGAGAATATCCTGAAAAATATCGTGTATTAATATGGTCAACTATTTTAAATTTGCCAGCCAATAAAAGTGCATATAATGCTCTAGCTAATAAAGCTGCCAATATAAATTTTACTTTAAATATTTTAAAAAATCATCCATTAGCAAATAGAAGTAAAAAAATATTATTAATGACAATAGTTAATTGTTTAATACAATGGTGTCCTTTATTAATACAATGTTCATTTTTACCAAATTTAGTTTTTCCATTTCTTATGATTTTTCAGGTAATAAAATAAATAAATTAAATAAATATTACGATTAAATAGATAGAAGATCAAAAATATATTAATTGATTTATTTTTATTATAGAAAAATCTACTATGTGGATTTGAACTTATTCTGAGTATTTTATTAAACTATTGTCAAAAATGGTTTGAATATCATCCTTTACCACCATTAAATGTATTAGGTATAATAGAAAATATTCTCCTACAAGCAGATCCATCTTTATTAAATGTTTTTTGTGAACGAAAAATAACATCCAGTGAATATGCATGGCCACTTTTAAAGACTGCAATGAGTGAAGTCTTGTCTGGTCCTGAATGGTTAATTTTATGGGATCATTTAATATCTTTTAAAAAACCTTCACTTTTATTAATGAGTGTTATTGCATACAGTATATGTTCTCGTGAAATTATTATATCTTCATTGCAAACGCAAGAAAATATTAAAAAATATTTTATTAAACAAGGCCATATTGGAGCACAAGAATTATTAAAAGTCGCTCAGAAGCTTGATAATAGTATACCATTAAGAATACATCCTAGTTATTATCTTAGGTATAATAATATTCTTTAATAAACATAAAAAACGATATTTTATATTGTTTTCTTATACATTAAAAAAACACTCTATATCATTTTTTTTAGAAATGAAATAATTACATTGCCTTTTAAAGGACCATATCCTCCATTTATGCCAAATGATTTTCCAAAATTTTTAACAGATGAAATTTCTATCTTCGAATTAGAAAAATTAAAACAAAAAGAAATTATGCGTGAATATAATCATATAACTACAAAAATTGCAGAAGAAAATAGATTAAAACATGAAGCAAAAACTTTTATAGATGAAATTCATCAAATAAGATTATCTGGTAAGACTATAGATTATTAAGAATTTTGACAATATAAAATTCAAACTTATTTCTTTTTTAGAAGCACAAAAATGTTTCAAAGAATATGCATTTAATAAGGATTGGGAATTGAAAGCAACAGAAGAAGATATATACAAAACTAAACATAAATGTATTTGTGATCAATTTCATGATATTCCACATTTAGATTTAGAAACTTCAAGTAATGAAGATATAGTAGATTTAAAAAATGATAAAACAAAATATTACCAACAATTACAACAAGATGTAGACAATTTGGAATATGAAGTACAAAGTTTTTTAGATTCATTAAGATCTCAAAAATCCAGAATAATTAATACTTAATATATTTTATAATAGAAAATTAATATATTTTTTTAAATATGTGAAAGATTAGAATATAATAAAACATCATATATCATTTAAGAACTTATTAAAACATATAATTATAAAATTTATGTATAGTATTTACAATATTGTGATTATAAAATATCTTTATATAAAAATATGTTATCTTTATATGGAATTATAATAAAAAATTGTCATATACATAGATTTTTGCATATTACAAAAATATTTTTTTAAATGCTTTGTTTATAGTGAATAATGATGATAGAATAATAATAATAATATTGTATTTTATATTGTCTTTAAACATAAAATTATATTTTTTATGTATATTATTTTAGAATTAAGAATCATATTGAATAAATGAATGAACAGGTACACTAAGTTTTTCTCTTCCCTTTAGTCCAATTAATTCAATTATTGTTAAACATTCAATTACTTCACCACCAACTGCTTTCACTAATTCTACTGCAGCTTCCATGGTACCTATTTAATTTTATTTTTCTAATTTTTTTTGAAATTTAATAAAATTTGTTTTTTTATTATTATTGTCTTACCTCCTGTTGCTAGTAAATCATCTACAATAAGCACTCGGCTTCCTTGTTTTATTTGTTCTGTTTGTATTTCAAAAGTATCCTATATCAGATAAAAAGAAACAAAATAAAATACATAATGTTGAAAAATTAAAAATTGAAAATTACATTAAAATAACTAATAATGAAAGAATTTTATTTTATTTACTGACCTCTCCATATTCTAAATTAAAGGTACGATTAAAAACCTTTCCTGGGAGTTTTCCTTTTTTTCTAATTGGCAAAAATGGTTTTCCTAATTCCATGCATATTATAGGTCCAAAAAGAAAACCTCGTGAATCTAAACCAACTATGAAATCTACTTCAAGAAATAAAATATGTTCCACTATTAAATCTTTCATTGCTCTCACTGCGGAAATATTGCGGAAAATACCAAATATATCACTAAAAATAAAGTTCTAAATGTATAACTTTTTAAATTATAACAAGATTAATATATCAAGATTATAATCAATATATATAAATTATTAAAAAATATTATTAAATAAAACAATTTTATTTCTTACCGATACATAATACCGGGTTTAGGAAAATCAGGAAAAGTGGCAATTGAATCTCGTAATAACTGAATCTTTTCGTTTTTATTCATATTCGTTATTTTAATAATTCAATGGCTGCAAATGATATATATAAATAAATATATGTAATATCTCCTGCTTATATGATAAAATTTCAGAACAAAAAATAATATACGAATATTATTATTACATAACTAAAATGAAAACATACCATAAGATTATAAAAGAAAGAAAGAAATGAAGTTTGATTAAGATATCACGTGCGTAAGTATTTATATAAATTACATTGTGATATTCACGAATGATGTGAAGTGACGAAAATTTTCAAAATGGATCATAATTTCACAGATAAAATTGTTATATAAAAGTAATTAGAAGTAAAAAAATACAATTTTCTAAGTAATTAGATGATAATTTCTTAATTTTTGAATTAAAATTCAAATTAAAACTTAAATTCTTAAAAATTAATAATATTTAAATATTTTTTTTGTTTGATAATTAAAAACATGTGTTATAAAGATATCGGAAGATATTTATAATTCTCAAATGAGAAATATTATGATTTATAGTTTTAAAATATTTTTGAGAATTTAAGTTTTAATTTAAGCTTTTAAAAATTAAAAAAATTTTGTTTAGAAGTTGAGATATTCATAATTTTCTATTTTTATATATGACAATTAGTTCCATCTGTTCGTTGTTAGATGGTGTCATAGTATCCATATATCTATAGTATCGTTTTTTTCATATTCGTTATTTTAACAATAATTTTTCGTAACAATTTTCTCTTTATTATTTTAATTTTCTATCTTTATATACTAATATAGTATGAATTTAATATATTTATGTATTTATATAAGTGTTAAAAATATATATTGTAAATATTTTTTCGTATTTCTATGTTTATGAAGTATTAAAAAAATTTAATTTAAAAATTGAGAAATTATGATTTTTCTATTTTTTATTTTTTGCATCTGGTAATATTTTACATTTAATTCATAAATTAATTTTGCATATCATAATTTCATATATATAATATCATAATTTTAAAAAATTATTTTTGTACATAATATAACATATCCTAAATATTTATATTACAATAAAAATCATTCAACAAATATGCTGTATGATATAAAAATTTTATAATTTAAGAATTTACTTCTTGAAACTTATAAAAAATATTTACATTTTTTTTTTATATATATTTAAATATTAAATGAAAAATACATTTTAAAATTATATGAACTAACATTATTATAATATACATTATTATAATTTTTTATATAAAATATTAAATTCAAATATTGTTAATTAAAATAAATTATTATGGCAGTGTAAAAACTGGGTGCTTAAAATATTATTAGATTGTTAAAATTCATATCTTTTTTCAATTTGATTTAATTATATTATTATTTATTTTTAAAATTTTTCTTTATGATCTACTATTTATTATTCTATTTAGAATTATCAATTTTATGACTAGTAGAAAGTAGCTCATAGAAATAATCTTATAAAATAAGATCAAATACAATATTCTTTAACCGAATAAATTATTCGATTCCCACATTTTTAAATATTCATAATAATAATAAGCTGTAATTATTTACAAGAATCAAAAATATGGAATTGTACTTGAAAATGATTTAAACTTTTGTTGTAGCTAATAATTTAATATAATGTGCTTTATGTGTTATTTCAAATTCCTGTGCTGGTAGGAAACATTGAGTTTGTATCCTAGGATGTCTCAGCCTTTTCAAAACGCTTCTACCAATTATCGCAATTATGATTAAAAGAGCACAGCTAGCTCCAATTATCGTTAAAACAATTAACTCTGTATTTTGTTTGAATTTTTGTACTTCAACGCAACGTAATCTATCTCGATTATCTATAAAATTTGTGATAACGTCTTCTTCATTAACATCGTCAAGACTTGCACAAACTTTATAACGACCGGGCAATAATACAGCTAATGTCACAAACGTTAAGCTACAATTCAACTTTTGTTTATGCACTGCAGATTCAGCATCAAAAACAACCACAGATAGTTCGCATTCAGGTAAATTTGATTTTTTCGAGATTGATAAGGTAACATCGACATGTAAAAAACCTTGATCAGAGACATTTACATGTACTCCAGTTATTCTAGTATCTAAAGAAGAGACAGTCTCTAAATTTCTCCCAATTTCTTGATCTTGTTGTAATTCTCGTTTAGATTCTTCCAAAGTTATTACATCACTACAACCCAAACCTAAGGAGACATCATCATAACTATTTGGCACTAGAAGTACTACACAATAACGATATTTATGACCTAATTGTAAATGTAAGGAAGCAGGTATGGTAACTGGAAGTGAACAGGGATCTCTCATTATACGTGAATCACAATGAAGAGAACTAGAATCTGTCTCATTCTCGGTATCACCTATAGTTTCATAAACAATTAAAGTATCACAAGTATATCGTTCTGTACACGGTTCTACATGCCACAGGAGATTAATACCAGTTGATTTATCATAGTGGAATTCTTTCAATGTTAATTGAGCTCCTGCCAAAGGTAATCTGGTCATGATTGGTGGTGTCGGTTCACCACAAAGAAGATTACCGGGAGAAACTTGCGTCAGTATACCATTTTCTAAAGCAGGTGGTGTCGCACAGACTGCTGAAGACTTATCTTCTTCGTTTAAGCTAGAATTGCTCAACCAATTGGCAAATTCTAAAAGCGTACAATCACAATTCAAAGGATTATCTGCCAAAGAAAGTCTTGTCAGTCGTAATTTCGATGTTGGTACGTCGCTGGCTACCATTGTAATATCGTTATCATCGAGACGAAGATCTTGGAGACTTTTTAATGGTACTACCAAATCAGCAGTCAGAGATCGTAAAAAATTATGCGTTAAATCGAGAGTTGTCAATTTTTCCAAATGTGCCAAAGAAGCGCTGGATACCGCAACAATACGATTATTTGCTAAATCAAGTCTAATAAGAGTTGATAAATATTTGAATGAATGATCTTCCAGCACATCAATCTATATAAAAACAAAAAAAATCAAATATTTCCTCTATACTTATTTTTATATATATTTAATTTTTATGTAGATTGAATTACCTGATTATGACTTAAGCTGAGATAAGTTAAGTTTCTCAAACCTACAAGAGCTCCTTGTTGTACATTTATTAACTCGTTTTCAGAAACAGTAAGGAAACGTAATCGTGGCATTTGAGGAAGAAGATTTGGTCCCATTGGACCCAGTAATAGATTATTAGACAAATCAAGTTCTTCTAAACTTTTAAGACCTCTCAATGCTGATAGAGCTGATACGCTTAAACGATTTCCACGCATTCTTAATGAACGCAATAAAGGTACTGCAGCAAAAGCTTGGGGCGATAGTTGTGATAATAAATTGTCGCACAAATCTAAATATGTTAGATTTGACAAATCCTGAAACATTTAAATATTTATATGTCTAATCTATAATGTTATGAATTATTGATTTTCACATTTATCTTATTTTCAATTATTTATTATATATTTAAGAATTTTTAAATTTTACCTTAAAAGATCCAGCTTCCAACATTTTCAGTTTATTCTGAGACAGATCCAATCTTTCTAAACCGATCAAATGTGATAAAGCTGTAGTAGGTACAGAATCTAATAGATTGTTTGGAAGTCCAAGAGCTTGAAGAGGTGTAATAAGCCCAACGAAAGCATTTTCATGGATATGTTTCAATTCTCCGCTAGAAATGACAAGCCCATGCAAGGCAACATCTTCCAAAAAGCGAGATGGTAATAGAGAAATTCCTGTTATTGTTACATCCAGTAAAGAAATCGTTCCTGGACGACTAAATTTCAACTTTTTACTGATAATCTGTGTAAAAAAAAAAAAATGTTTCTATCTTTTAATATTCAATTCAACTTAGTAATGAAATCAATCAATATCAATATAATCATAATATAATTCTATTATGATAATATGTGAATATAAATCATTCGAGTTACTCTCATGACAAATTTAATTATACATTCTCTATTGCATAATGAAAATCATTTGATTCCCAAAGGAGTATTGTAAGGCTGGATATTCGAAGTAACTGGTAACGGGACATTCAACGCAAAACAAGCATGTACAAGACAGAGAGACCGCACAATGGTTTGTTGAACAATGAATGGAACTTGTAAAATATTTTATTGATCGTCTATACATCCACGCTTTATATTATTAAAAAAAATTTTTAAATTATTAAAAAAACCACTGACCTCGATAATATTGAAAAATAGCAAATCTACGATAATTTTGACTATCATGTTATAATTATTTCAAAATATAAATAAATTATATGATGTATTTTTAATATTTTTTAATATGATTTCATTAGTAGTTTTTAATATGATTTCAGTAAATACATATATTCAATTGCTATTAAATGCTATATAGATATAAAAATTATACCTGTAAAGCGGTTCTATCACCGGTACATCTTAACGTGTGTGGAAAGTCACAGGAACATTCGACGCCCGCTTTTGTAATATTTGGACACTCCCAAATTGTGTCAGACGAAGGTGAGGATGCGTGGGATGGATCTTGAATATTTTCTTCATCCATGCTTTTTATATTTGACAAATTAACCATCGTCCTCTCAGTTTTATTTAAATTAGATGTAGTTGTGACCATCGGTGCCAAGATGGTCGTCGAGATTGCGTTGGTGGTTGTTCCATCTTCCAGGAAACCATCCATTATTGCGTCTATACAAGACGCTATCGTTATTAACAATAAAATTAGTAAGCATCGAGACGTCCACAGCATTCTGAAATATATCATTATTTATAAAAATAGATATACTATGGATATATTTCTTTTATATAAATAAATATATTCATATGCTTAATATTAAAAAAGTAAAATGAAAGAGCGAAAGAGAGAAATGAATAATGATGCAACGAATATCGACTGAATTTCGTCCTTTCAGTCATTTCAGTACTATTACTATTACAATCATTTAACTAACCCAATTTTTCATCAACTACAAAATTTTTAATTCTACTTTTAATATGAACAATCAATAATCTATCTAATTCGTATAATTTAATATCGGTGAAACCGGCTGAAATCAATGTCCCATAGTTATTATACAGAATTATGGCTCATCAGTCGAAACGATTTAGAAAAATTGATAGAGTTGGACAAAAAACTACAAAAAACACCCCGTTGGAAAGAAGAAGCTGAGGAAGCGGAAATTGATGTAAAACATGGATTGGATTTACTTCTTCCAGTTTATCTTAAGTATTAATCCAAGATATAATCTTACGAACTGTTTACAAATGGTAGAAATCGATGGAATATGTTTTCAGATATCGTAATTTAGTGAAGAGACTAATAGTTTGCCATGATCAAATGGTACAGACGCAGAAAAGAGAATTGATAAAGCGGATTCTAGATTGTGCTGTCGGTCGAATGTTAGAATACAAGCAAGAGATCGTTAATTTGAACTATAATGATCATCAGTTTAGTAATTTTATAAAATTTTATAGAATTTATATTGAAAATGAAAAATATATATTAATAATTGTTTAGATGGCCTGATGACTTTATGAAACAATTGAAATATACGCCAGATGATGTGGAAATTCTTGTGTGTGCAGCAGGTAAAGATATTGTAAAAGAACGTAGAAAACGTATTCAAAAGTTGATAGAAGATGCTATAACAAGTTACGAAATTACTCAAATTTATATAAATATTATTAAATTATTAATAAAATAAAATATCTATCAAAAACATGAAATTTTATTTTGAATAGTATCAGTGAAGGATGAGAGTAAAGAACCTTCTGAAATAGATATTAGTGAACTTACCCCATCTCAGGAAAGCATAAGATTGCGAAGAAGAAGACTTAGAGAAAAAACTCCGACAGATGAAATACCAATCTTATATGAATCACCGGAAAAGATAGCAGCTCGAAAAGCTGAACGAGCCATGTTAGAAGCAGTATTGCTTATTCAATCTCATGAAAGAGCAAGAGTTGCTCGTGCTATTGGACAAAATGGTAGAAATTCTATAAATGAATTATTATTTGATAATAGTTTTCTAATAATAGTTTTCTAATAATAGTTTTTCAATATTATAGTGGTACAAGAACAAAAATATAATAAAAATGTAGCGATGGGATTAATCATACCAAAAAAAATAGATAAAGCTACATATCTTAATGCTGTTAAAACAATACAGCGAGCCTGGAGAACATACGCAGCAAAAAAAAAATTGAAAAATCGAATCGCACGCACAGAAGAATTATTAGGCATGACGATACCTAGTTGGAAAAATCAAGAAGTTTTTAAAAAAGATAAGGAAAATTTTGAAAAGAAATTAGCTTTAATGTCAGTTTTTGCCGATGAAACTGCAAAAGCAACAGAGAAAGAACAAGCAAGAGTAATCTTTTTTCAAATTATCCTAATATTTTAATTTAAATGTTTCTTATATATTTTATTTTTAACTCTAATTTTAACTCTAATATTTTAATTGCAATAATTTAAAAAAAACTAAATTATTATTTCATTGCTTAAGTTACTAAAAATTAAGCGCCCTGGTTTAATAGAAGATATTACGGATGAAATTCGAGAATGGTTCATTTTATGGTATGACGAATTAGGACATTTCTACGTATACCCAGCTGCACATTTAGGTGGCAGTGTGTTAATTGCTACCGGACAAACTATAACACCTCAAGAATATTTGGTGGAGAAGAAAGCTAAAGAAATGGAAAAGAAAGCACCAGAAAAAGTCAAAAAGAAAAAAGTCAAAAAGAAAAATAATTGGATGCCGGAAACAAAGGCATTTTCCCTTCTTAATGAAGCTAATCAATGCTATAACTATGATTGGAGTCATCGATATGCAAATGATTTTCAACAAAAAATATATCATGATTTAATCACGGATGAACTCTGTTATAAACTTCAATTGGAAACAAGAAAGGTTGTAGATGAGTTGATGAGATTGGAATTGCAAAAATTGAACGCAGCACTGAAAAAAGACTATGCGGCTGATTTACGTCGATTTGACGTACCTATCGACAAACGTAAATTATTAAAATCATATTTAATATAATATTAAATAAAAAATTATGAAAGATAATATTTTACAATAAGTTGCATTATAGAAAAGTATATTAGATATAGGATACTATCGAATATTATTCATTAATATAATCATATAATTTCTTTTATAGTTATATAACAATAAACATATAGATTTCTATAACTATAGTACATATAATCTTTAATTGAAAATAACTTGAAACAATCTTTCAATATAGTTGTTAAAAACCAATATATTTAAAATTAATTATGTTACATCACTGAATATTTCTATGAAATTAATAAATAGGTAGAAGAAGACCACCCCCCAGAAAGAAACCTCCACCATCACCTGATGATTTTATAGAAGATTTCAAAGAATTGGTCAGAGCTAATATCATTAAAGATTATCCATCCAATTCCCTCAATGATTGGATAGGAGATCGTTCGTATCAAAATTATGAAGCAATTCTTGAATTTCGAAATTACAAGCATCGATTGGGTGAAGTTAAACAATTAGTCATGGAATATTGCATTCTTCCTCTTAGTACAAAAGAAATTCATCAAATCGCGCCATTAATCCAATCCGTTTGTATCTGTGGTCTTCCTCATCAAGGAAAGAGCTTTTTGGTGAACGCTATCTGTTCTGAGGTTTTTACATTTTTTTTTCTTTAATCGTGTCTAAAAAAATTTCAAAACCAATATTAATAAATTTATAATAGGTCGGAGCATTATTATTCGACATGTCACCATCAATATTGGCGGGTAAATTTATGGGACCCAAAAACGAGCACAAATTAATCAACACGATTTCAAAATTAGCTCGAGCATATGCTCCTTCTGTGATTTTCATCGATAACAGTGAAAAAGTTTGGGCAAAAAAAGTACCAGTGGATGAAATATATTTAAAACCGAAACGATTTGCACGATACTTCCCTAAAATGGTGAAAAATATCAAGAAAGGTGATCAGGTGACTTGATAAAAAATTTTCTTAATAAGGATATAAATATTATAACATTTTTCGTATTTTATCCAATTTTATTTGAGAAAAAATCAGAAAAAAGAGTACTTCGATTTCACAATCGAACGAGCTTACATATACAAGTGTCTCACCTAAACTGGTAAGGAATGTTAAAGTTGGTGATCTGGTAGCGCCCACTTTATGAAATTCTTGATATTCCTGTTTCGACTCTTTCTCCGATATGAATGAACCACCTCAATAAGCCAGTCGGAGACTTTCCCTCTTTCTCTTTCCCAAACGTCTCGATCGTTCGAAGCTGGTCATCAATGAAACACCTCCTACCGAACGATTTGGACGTAGGTGGTACCGAGTTAACGTAGGATTTAGAGTGTCGGTGATTCCGGACCGATACTGTTACTCATTGGCGTAGAATTGTATCCTACGATACAAAATTAATATAGATATACGCTATATTAATATAGATATACGCTACACTTAGTTGCAATTTGAAGAAAAAACTTGTCTGAAATTAACTATTCTTTTGCACAAACAAATTTGATTATTTTCGAAAGAATAAAAAAAATAAAAAAATAAGATTTGATACATCAGACCGCAATGTATTTTTCAGATTCTATTTCTCACGACCGCCACGGAACCATATGCAGCAACAGCACCCTTCATGAGAATCCACAACAAGTTCATAATAATTCCTCTCACGGACTACAATACGTTATACATGTTTTACAAAGATGAACTGATGAAGTATTACGGAATTGATCGCAATATCGATGTCTCTAGTATGGCAAAAG